ATATAGTGTGAATATATATATAAATGGAAGGAGAGATTTCTTATCTTTTATCTCACTTCTTTTTTTTTTAAAGATTTATTTTATTTTTATTGGAAAGGCGGATATTCAGAGAGGAGAGACAGAGAGGAAGATCCTCCATCCGATGATTCACTCCCCAAGTGAGTGCAATGGCCGATGCTATGCCGATCCAAAGCCAGGAGACTCTTCCGGGTCTTCCACACGGGTGCAGGGTCCCAAAGCTTTGGGCCATCCTCCACTGCTTTCCCAGGCCACAGGCAGGGAGCTGGATGGGAAGTGGAGCGGCCAGGATTAGAACCGGCGCCCATATGGGATCCTGGGAGTGCAAGGTGAGGACCTTAGCCACTGCGCCATCGTGCCAGGCCCTTATCTCACTTCTTATGTTTCTTTTTTTTTTTTAACTTTATATTCTAAAACTATCTTATCCAATAAGGCTGTCATTAGCCACATGTGGCTATTTGAAATTTAAATTAATGGATATTATACAAAACTTAAAAATTAGTGTCTCAGTAGCACTAGTCACATTCCACATAGTAAAACATAAATCTACTGAGTACCTACTAGATAATGCAAATATATAAAGTTCTATATAATAAAAATACTATAGATAATTTTTTAACCTTGAGCTTTTTAATTACCAATTCTACATGTCAGAGTTAACTTTTTAAAAAAAGATTTATTTATTTTTATTGAAAAGGCAGACTTACAGAGAGAAGGAGAGACAGAGGAAGGTCTTCCATCCAATGATGGAACCCTAGTTTCATAGTTAAAAATATAATGAAAACATAACTATAAACAGATGTCTTATTTTTTTACTTGCCAAGTTTCCCAGTATTATAATCATTAAAAAATTAATTTAATAATCATTTTTTCCAAAGTACTCATTTTGTGGATTTTATTTAAAGCTTTAATATTTCAGTTGTGACCTTTGAAAACCAACAGATTTTTTAAAGATAATTTATATTAATTAACTTCCTTTTCACTTCTCTCCCTACTCCCCCATCCACTCCTTTTTACATCATCCCCATGCAAAGAGACAAAGAAGAGGACATCACAGAGGGACTGTTAGAGGCATCTGTTTGGAAGAAGAAAGGGAAGCTAAGGCCTTCTTTCTGGTCATGGTAAAGGTGAAAGTTGTTTGTGGCTTATTGCGCAGCCGACTAAATACTTTTTTCTTTTAAAGCACCAACTTGAGAAAAGGTCTTATTTCTCCTTTGCCATCCCTCTGAGTCATTACCTACCCACAGTCTGGGTATTAATGAAATGATCTTGAGTAAGCATTTAAAAAGTAGGAGTGCCTGCAAGAGGGTTAGGATGTCATCGCTCACATGATTTAGAGAGAAGATAAGCTCCAAATTTGACTTTCTGAAGAACATTGTCAGATAAAATTATAGATACTTCAGTTGGAAGAGTTCTGCGTTCTTCACTGTAAACCATTCCTGTCTTACTTATTGGCCTCCTGTAACCTGGCCAAGGAATGATGAATTGGCCCTATTGGAACAGCTCTAGTGACAGGGATCTCGTTGCTTGAGAAACAGCCCGGGTTGTTGTTAGACAACTCTACACCTTAGAAATTTCTTAATAAAACTTAGAGTTTTGTTTGCAGAAAGTTTCAGCCATTGATTCTAGCTGTAGATTTCTGGAACTAATCGGGAAAAGAAATTGAATGCACTGAAGACTTGACTCAGAGATTGAGTACTGCACGCAGTAGGCACATGTCTATGGGCAATTTGCATACCAGCTAGAAGCCCTGACTTCTTTATCTGTGGAAGGAGGATAATGACTACCTACAGAGGCTATGCGAATTAAGACAGTCTGTGAAAGGCTCCTGACATGTCATGAGTGTTCAATAAACATTAGATGCTTTCTCTTCCACACCCATGAAAATATTTGAAGACAATGACCGTGTCTCCCCTAAGTCTTTCTTTCCAATTCACTTTGCTGTCCACTTTACGACAGCCATTTCTCATGAAACTGGTTTGTGAGCCCCACAATAAGGAGACGTAAAATAGTTAACACTTACAACATGTGAACTGATCATAAATTAGGTGACTTTCATAGGCCAGTCCCAATTCTCCCATTTAGGGTGATGCTAAGAAATTATCCAGAGATAGGAACCAGGAAGTGGGGAACCTTTTTTCTCCCAAGGGCCATTTGGACACTTATAGCATCATACAACATTACAAAGTTAACAATTAGCTTGCTGGATTTACTGGATTTTGAGTCCTGTCTATGGTTGCCTTGGCAAAGCCAGATCCAATGATTTCCCAGATGTTATAAAATCTGTGGACTAGATATTCTTCATCTTGAAACAGAACTATGAATCCTATCCTCTCCAAATTCATTTCCCCTGTGCTTGCCTTAATTATCAGAAGACTCAAGTTTCTATCAATATCAATATTTTCCTTGGCCTCAATTTCTCACATAATTAACCCTCTCCCATTCATCAACTTGGACTTTGTCTTTAAATCTTATTTTCTTTGACTGAAAAGGAAGCAATAAATGTTTTAAAACATCCCCTAGGTACCACTATTGTAGCACATTGGGTTAAACCATTGCCTGCAATACCAGTATCCCATATGAGCACCAGTTCAAGTTACTTGCTATCCAATTCTCTATTCATGCTCATGGGAAAGCAGCACAAGTTGAATCAAATACCTGGGACACTGCCACGAATGTGGAAGACTTCGATGAAGTTACAGGCTCCTACATTTGACTTGACCATCCCCAGGTCATTGTGGCAATGTGGGGAGCAAACCAGTATATGGAAGATATCCTCTCTCTCTCTCCCTTTCTCTCTTCCTCTGTCACTCTGCCTTTCAACTAAATAAATAAAAATTTTAAAAGGAACAAAAAATCACACTCTGCTCTGCTTGTAAATATATAAGAAAAACAACTGAATCTAATCTTCCTATTGATTACATATATGGGGGACTGGCAATGTGGCACAGTGCATTAAACTACTGCCTGCAGTGGGCAAATGAGCTGATATCCCAAAAGCTTTGACAGTTAATTGGGGGTGTGAGTGTGAAGCAGCAAGTGGAAGAGTTCTTTCTCTTTCTCTCTTTCTTATTTTAATTCTGCCTTTTAAATCTTTTTTTTTAATTGCACATTCTCTACTAGAGAGATCCAGATCTACAATGCAATAAAACACTTACCCAGTTCATCTCAGACTCACTTCTTTCCTCATCTTGATATTTCTTTTATCTTTTTAAAATATTTGTTTATTTTTATTGGAAAGGCAGACTTATAGAGAGAAGGAGATACAGAGAGAAAGATGTTCCATCTGCTTGTTCACTCCCCAGGTGGCCATAACGGCATGGAACAGAGCAGATCCAAAGCCTGGATCCTGGTCTCCCACGCAGGTGCAAAGTCCCAAGGACTTGAACTGTCCTCGATTACTTTCTCAGGCCACAAGAGGGCACAAGTTGGTGCCCATAGGGGATCCCAGCTTTGATGTGGGAGGATTAGCCAATTGAGCCATTGCATCAGTCCCAGACACTTGTTTCTAAGCTTCTAGGATTCTGAAAATGTTTTGCTTTTTTTTTTTAAGTAGGTGCCAATCACAAGATTTTTTTTCTCTACCACTGCCTCTGGGCAAGGAGCACAGAGCACTGAAATCTCTGAGTCAGCCAATACCCAGGATCACCTGATTAAATGGGGCCTTTGTTTTTGAACACATGATTCTTACCCATATTTCAGGGTAGGGTCAGCTATAGGCCATCCTGCAGGCAGCAATAGGAATCAGATGACTTCTGAAGTCTCTGCCAGCCCTGTGATTTGTTGAGCAGCAATATAATTGTGTCCTGAGGTTAAAAGAAAAGGCAACACTGCCCTGTCATTCCCTCAAAAGTATAACAAGCAAAGTCAGTAAATGGAAAAGGATCCCCCTTGCCCTGCCTTCAGATGGGTCTGCTGCCAAGGCTTCACTGAAGCTTCCTCAAGAAAAAAGGAAAGCAAAGATGTGCTGACAGCTGAGGAGGAGGGGAGGCTGGGTCTGGTGGTGAGCAGTCAGGTCGTTAGGCCCGCAGGGTATCTCCTCCTTCACTGTGCAATTAGGAGCTCAATAAAAGGTCCCAGCACACACTGTGGGCACACAGCCTGCTGCCCACACTGCACTCGCTCTCACTCGGGAACGAGGTAAGTCTCACAGCCTGTGTGCTTGGGCATCCTTATTCTCGGCTGCCGCTTTGCTTCTGTGAGCGCTGGTGTGAGGATTTCAGAGGAAACATGCTCTAAACCAACCTCTCTTTGTGGAGTTAAACTGGGAGCTCAAGCCACACTTTCCTTGCTTATGGAAACTCTTGGGTCATTTTATTTTTTAGAAAACTTCTAAGCTGTTTGGATAATATAGGCATGAATACTGCTCAGAGTGAAGACACAGAACTCACATCTGTATTAATGTGAAAATGTAGAGTCATTTAAATGATTGATGGCCGAGGGCAGAGGGGTACAGTTATTTTTCCGATGAGTTTACACGAAACAGTGTCTTCTTGGTTAAAATTTCTTCTATCTGCAAACACAGGAGCTGACTTTCCTGGTGTTTTGTTGTTGTTGTTGTTGCTGTTTATCTTTTGTGTAGAGATTTTACTGATCTTGAAGGCTATAGTTTCCTAAGCAGAGGAGGTTGGACAAGTCAAGGTGAGGGGAGGGCATGTGAACCATCTCAGATGAGGCTGGGAGACCGGTCCCCCTCTAGTGGTTTTTCACCCTCCCTTTTGCAGTAAGTTTTCTCTGAACACATAAATGTGGCTCTTTACCATAAAGGAGGTGAAGTGCCTCTTCAAGCGCCTGCCACGATCTAAACTAAATCACCCCTGGAGTTTAGGTGTAGTATTTCAGGATACAGACTAGAGCTCGTGGTGCAAGTGGAACCAGGGGAGGGAGAGAAAGAAGGACCACTGACTATGCCCTTCCTGAGGGATCCATCACACACAACGAACAATGTTTGTTCTTTCTCAGTCTCTCCTGAGCTTGTGAAGATGCCTGGGCTCCTAAGAGATGTGCTCTGTATAATCGAGACATTTCACAAGTATGCCAGAGAGGATGGCGACAGGGCGATGTTGACGCACGGAGAGTTGAAACAGCTCCTCCAGAGCGAGTTTGGGGACTTTCTTCAGGTGAGGTGCTCACAGAGCCTTTGAAATTCTTCCTCTCCTGCCCTTTCTCCAAACCCCAAGCTTGATGAGTGTCATTTTACGCTTGACCATCAGCACTTAGCATTTGACTTTTGCACCACATGTGCAGTGTTAGTCTCTGTGCAATTGCTTCGTTTTCTCCCTACGCCTGTAGTTCAGCCAAGTCACTGCTAAGAGGAGCTCTTGTGCATCGACTGCAACCATAAGGGCTGTAGGAGTTCCTTACTCTTAGCTCTTTGATGAGAAGTGGCACCCAGAGCCAGAGAGTGCGTGTGTTTGGGGAAATGTCACTAACTCCTGAGAAATGTGATTCTAAGAGGAAGGTTTGTGGGAGACACACAGTCGGGACACTCAATTGGCTCTGAATAGATTATTTCTCCCTGTGTTTTTTTGCAGCCACATGTCATTCATGCTGTGCAGAGAAAATTGAACCTCCTGGGTGTTGACAGCGCCAGCACCATTCATTTTGATGAATTTGTTCTGGCGATATTCAACTTGCTGAATTTCTGCTATTTTGACATACAATCTCTACTGACTTCAGAACCAAGACAGGTGCGTAAACCAGAGGAAGAGAAGCCACAGGAGGTAGATCAGCAGGTCACCACTGGAAATGGTCAGCAGACAGAAGGAACCATGCCAGCTCAAGACAAGGTTGTGACATCACCAGTTCAGCTCAGCACCAAAGAAAGGAGGGCAGCTGGACACGATCAGGAGGATGCACAGGGAGGCACCACAGTCCACAACCTGCCAAGAGAATCTTCTGAGCACAACGGTGTGAAAATTCATCACCTGGAAGCAGGTGAACAAAACCAGGAAGTGGCCCCAAAGATGCCAGCCACAAAGGACAATGGAGCCCAACTTAACACAAATAAGTCATTAGCAGGATCAGAACAGACAAGAAGGCCTATAAAGAAGGAGTTACAGAATAGGGAGTACTCCAGGGAAGGAGATAAACCAGCAAGGGAACAAAATGGCCCCGAGACAAAAGGCCAGCAGCAGGCAGAACAGGAAAGGAACTTGAAACAAGAACCAACACAGAGACAATCTGAAGACCAGGAAGTTTCTGCACACAAGGGTGCTAAGAAATACTCTGAATCGCGAGACCTACCCCTGCATGGAGCAGAGGAGCCCCGTGCAAAGCAGGCTGACCTGCCAGCTCTCCCTGCCATCAGGAAAACCTCTAGGACACAGAAGTCAGCTGACCTAGAGGTTGAGGGCAGAACCCCTGAAAAGGTCACTGATAGAACCTCCGAGAGCCAAGAGTCACGAGAACAAAAAAGTGACCATACCACACAGAAACTTCCAGTCCAAGATGTTTCTGAAACACCAGACATTAGAGCTGAAAAGAAAGAAGGGGGACATCTGAAATCCCACGGAAGAACAGGACAAAAAGAAGGCCAGAGTAAAATTCAGCCATCAGTCCTGGAGACCTCAACACAAGATGAAAAGGACCAGGAGCTCCAAGGACCTGCTGAAGAGAAAGACACTGAAAGAAGTTTTGAGACACCAGATCTAATCTCAGAAGACGGGAAGCAGAATAACTCTGAGACTGAAGGAAAACAAGCAAGGTACTCTGAGGAAGACCTGGAAGAGACACTGGTGGACAGCACAAACAGTACTGCAGCAAAGAGGACCCCAGGAGCAAGAGAAAGAACACGAGACCCAGCCCTACTTTGGCATCCATCTAGAGGAGAAAATGGTAGGATTGACAAGACTCATGATGTGTCTGCTATGGCGGATGATGGCTATGGGAACAAGGAACCTGGGTCACCAGTTACACAGGTGGAAGAGGGGTCTTCTGGAACTCCCCACAGCCCGGCCCTGGAGGAAAATGACTATAGCTCAGAGACAGGTAGACCGCCTGTGCCACGGGATTCCCAGGATTGGATGGAGCCACGGGAAGAGACTGCAAAAAGACATCACAGTAAGAACCCAGAGACTTGGCAGCAGGAATCACCAGGTGAGAACAGAGCCCAGGAGGCAGTGGAGTCATCAGTAGGAGAAGAAGGTGTGCAGTTCCCAGAAGGACAGGAACAACCAGCTAAAGGAGGATGCAAGAGGCAAGGCTCAGTGCTCAAAGATCCAGGTACAGCTGGGAAGCTTAATGGACACCCAGAAGCACAAGAAAGAGATGAAAACGGAAAGTCACTGCAGACAGACATCTCAGATATCCTAGATGCAGATTTCATCAACCGGTGTTCCCTAATGCAGCTCCCTGCAAAGGAAAACGGTAGAAGAGAACCCAAGATCCTGAGCCCAAAAACCAGAGAAGAGCAAAGGGGTGCATCAGAGACCCACAACACTCCATTAACATCCCTGGATGAGCACAACTCAGTCTCCCCCAAGACACATCTTGAAACAGAGGAATCTACAGTATTGGAAGAGGAGAATGGACATCTCCAAGAACTGGCAGAAGAAGACGATGACCAACAAAGTCCAACCAAAGAAAACTATGCTGCTGAAGTCCCAGAATTGGACCTGGAACAGAGGATGTACAGAGACCAAGAGTTCAGTTCTATGGAGAAAGGTATAGTTCACGCCAGCCCACGATACCATAATGAGCAAGAAAAGATACTGGAGCAAACAGACAGAACCCAAGAGGAGCCTCCACACCAAGTCAAGACAGCCCAGGTGTTAGACCCAGAGCTTCATACTTCAGAGGCACGAGCATTCCTCCCCAGGAAGAACTCAAACCATCCTGTCTTTATCGGCCACCGTGAGGTTTTACGACAGCACACCAAGGAGTTTCTGCCTGATGAGGATCCTGTTTATGCACAGCAGACACCAGCTCTCCAGGCCTGGGAAGAAGAGAAGGGTCACTCTGAGAAAGCGGAACCAGTACTGAAGAGAGAGGTGACCAGCACAAAGCAGTAAACGTTCATCACCAGAGAAGTTACAAGGAGCTTCACGCATCTCAGCGAGCCCCCGATTTCCTCCCTCCTGATCCCCCTCCATACTCTCTCAGATGCCGGTGCAAACTCTCAGAGGCAGATTAACAGTCTTTTACCTTTCTTTTCAAGATTTTGAGAAGAAGAAAGTTAACATATTCAGCAGGATGGGTCACACCGAAGAAACCAAACAAACATAATTGGTGCCATAATCATGTGACAAAATGAACTTCCTCCTGAACAGTTTATCTCAATTTACCTGGCTTTAAAAATGGAAAACATTCCTTCCTTAAGAGATGGACAGTTTCTTTACATTTTGGACAATTTCTTCATCGTTTCTGCTTTTTATAAAATGCAGGAGGTTATGAAACAGCAACATGATCTTCTGTTTATAAAATATGATTATTCTGCTTTTTAATATTTTTTGGAGGAATGTCAAGTTCATCCTAAAATTTTAACCCTCAAAATAAGTTTAGATATTTCTATAATTCTAAAATAATCCACTTCTAGCATCAGATTAATTCTTAACTCCTTGTGGATATCCATGTGCTGTGGAATCTGTTCTATGGATTTATTCAGCAGACTTCTATTAAACCCTACTCCATATAAAACCTTTTCATAGCTTCTGGCTCAAACAAGAAATCAGAACCAATGAATGAGAGAGAGGAAGAGGATATAGCTTATACTTGATTCCATAATAAGTTTTACAACCAATAACTCAGAGTTTTCTTAACATATATATACTAACATGGTTTACTGAGAGCATTAAATTAAAGGTGGTAATTAAATAACCTCATGATCAGTTTCTTTTGTTGGTTCGTTGTTTTTTTTTTTTTCCTGTCATTCTCTGGCTTGTGTTGGAGACATTTATCAGAAACAAAAACAATCATAGTGGGCTAAGTGTGATGGCCTAGTGCCTAAATCCTCGCCTTGCATGCACCAGAATCCCATATGGATGCCTGTTCATGTCCCAGCAGTCCCAGTTCCCATCCAGCTCCCTGCTTGTGGCCTGGGAAAGCAGCTGAGGACCGCCCAAAGCCTTGGGACCCTGCACCCGCATGGGAGACCTGGAAGAAGCTCCTGGCTTCGGATCGGCTCTGGATGTTGTAGACACTTGGGAAGTGAACCAGCGGGTGGAAAATCTTTCTCTCTTTCTCTGTTTTTCTCTGTAAATCTCCCTTTACAACAGAAAGAAAGAAATGTAAAACAAAACAAAGCAAAACAAAAAGCAATAGCAGTTATTTGTGTTTTCTCAAAAAAAAAAAATCTTAAGTAAAGGGGGATGTTCCTGGATCTTAATGATGACTTAGGTATAATCATCAAGTGATTTATGAAAACCAAAGGCAGCCTAATACCCCAGCCTCTATTTCATTCTGCCCTGGAGGTTCCATGGTCTTCCAATCCAACTTACAACCCGTTTAGAGCCTAAAATCCAAGTACGTACCCTCCTTTCCAACACATTCAGCTGTTTTCACTTTAACTTCAAACACGAATGAATAGCCTTGCCTAAAAAACATACAATTTCTGAAATGTGCAAAAGACAGGGAACAAATCACACAAAAAAAAAAAAAGAAGAAGAAGAAAATATACACTAGAGCATAAGCTAACCAGCCCTTAGGCATTGAGCATTGTGGATCCAGATCATAAAAATAACATTTACAAATAATAAATTCGCAAAAGAAGCCAGACAGATGTTCACAAACTGTGACATCTTTACTAGACTTCAAGGAAATGCAAACTCAAACCAGAGATTTTTCTTCATTTATCAAATCGTCAAGGAGTAGTGTTGGCTTGTTTCTAATAACTCCTCAGTAAGATTGAGAACATAGGGAACATGGCTGAGGGCAGTATAAATGAGTGCAATCCAGTACAATGGTCTAGAAAAATCTTTAGTTCCCTGGTATGAAGTAACTCCGGTACCGTCACCTCCTGTGTCAGTAATTGCTGCAGAAACTCCAGATTGGAGAAGGGCAGTGGTGTGCTTAGGACACTCGGGGCCAAATTAATTTCAACAACACTGGAAGAGCAGCAGCATCCCACAGTGGTACCCAGCTTGTATCCCAGCACTCCACTGCCACAGTGGTAGACAGCAGGAAACACTGAGCCTAGGCCAGGCCTTGCTGCCTGGGTTTGCTGCCCCCAGGGGGAATTGCAAGTGGATCAAAGGTTCTGTACAAGGTTGCGGCTGCTGGTTGTTGCTGGAAACCTTCAAGCTGCTCTACTGGATTCCTTCGGAAAACCCGCAGAAGGCCAGCTGTCTGGGTTCTGATCTGCCACAAAAGATGAAGATTTAAGTGACTTTAATTAACCTGTCCTATGCCCCACCCATAAGATATACACTGTATAGCAGGCTGGAGCCACCTGAGACTTCCTGGAACATGCCACTCTCAGAACTGCTGGGTTCAGGTCATTTGTGTAGGGCTGTGATTCACAGCTTACACTTTTGGTTGTACATGAAGTTCACCGCAAAGTAAGGACAAACTTGAGTCCACAAAATGAGAAAGAGGGTGGAGGTGGGAATAATTATGCTTCTTTTAGCAGGTTGCTTTCTTACCAACTACTTTAAGGCCTTTTCTAGTGTGATCTGGAATAAATTCCTTGACAATGCCGATTGCTAGGTTAGGTAAATAACCTGAAAGATGTATTAACATTGTGCAATGTGTCATGACTTTGCCAGTCATGAGGAGTGCAATCCCACTGCCTTTGATGTGAGGGCATGGATGCTGGAGGCTCTCCAGCAGGTGCCGGCAGGCGCTCCTGTTCACCAGGTCTGAACTGTGGAGTAAATACCTGTGGAAAGAATACTTTCAGCTCAGCCAAGGGAATTACCAGCTTGTCCTTAGGCATTCAAACTAACGGGAGGAAAACCTCAGCTAAAACCTACTTGTTTCATGAATTTTTTTTTATGATCTTTAGTGAGAAATCCAGGTATTTTAAGGTATTGGACATTCTAAGGATGCTCCATTATCTACCTTTTCATGTGTCTGTATGTAGTTCAGTTGGAGAGTCAGGGCAGAAGATGGGTGATATAGAACTTGTGTTTTTAATAACTACAGCTGAAAACATCCAGTAATGTCTAGTCCTTAAAAGGGACTTGCACTTTCAACAGTTTCTACAAACTACATAAAATCTGTTCTTTGTATATTCATAAAAAATGAACTACTAAAATGAAATAAATCTATAGATGTTATCATAACTAAAAATAAACATAAACTTTATGATCTAAATGAATTACATTCCAAATAAAATTATTTTATAGATATTACCCTGAGAGACACACAGCAAACCAATAATCTTCTTAGTGAATTGATAAAATACAATTGCTATTTTTAAATGGGGAACTGATGGAAGCTACCTACCAAGGACTTTAAGGTTTCTTTACACCAAATAGGATACAGTCTGGCAATTTCCTAGTTTTGTATCTTTGGCTCAATAGGCAAGTTTCAATGTGACACATGCACACTTGATGTAGAGTCTGGGTTTCTCCACTTAAAAATCCCTTTGTTGGGTGCAGGAGCTACAGATTTTCTTCATTTTCTAAGTTCTCTATAAGCAAATAAATATGATTTTAGATAATTTATTCATAATTTTAATCTAGTCTCAAATGATAATCTAAAATGCAAAAATCCTTACAAAGATGCTCATAGAGCCTGGCGCAGTAGCCTAGCTAAAATCCTTACCTTGCATGCTCCAGTATCACATATGGGTACTTGTTCATGTCTCAGCTGCTCCACTTCCCATCCAGCTCCCTGCTTGTGTCCTGGGAAAGCAATCAAGGGCAGCCCAAAGTTTTGGGCTCCTGGCTTTGGATTGGCCCAGCTCCAGACATTGCAGCTTTTTGGGGAGTGAATCATCAGATGGAGGATCTTCCTCTCTGTCTCTTCTCTCCGTATATCTGATTTTCCAATAAAAATAAATAAAGCTTAAAAAAAGTCATAAATATAGCTACCAACAGGGAAGAAGCGGGGAAGTCAAGGACTTTGGGATCTAATTTGAATTGTGGGTTGTAGATCATGTCTCTGAGAAATCAGCATATTTCTATGATTGATCTCTAAATCCTATGACAGCAAGGTTGGGAGGAGAAACCCCCAAAGAACAACACTCCCTAAAGCACTCAGTATCTACCTGGAACGCGTGCCTTCACAATGCCATTCAAGATGCCTTAGTCCTACAGACTGTTAGGGCAAGGATGAGCAAAAATGCACAATTCTTCCTCAAAATGTCAGGAGACATATATCTAACACCTGAAGAATAAAGGCAGAATGGAGTGGTGGTCAACAGCACAGGCTCGAGAGCTGGGGCAGTGACATGGCAAGCTAAGTCTCCACATGCAGTGCTGGCATCCCACATAGGCACCACTTCATGTCCCAACTGCTGAACTTCCAATCCAGCTCCCTGATAATGCACCTGGGAGAAAAGCAGAAGATGGGCCAACATGGGACTTCTTGGTCCCTGCACCCATGTGGGATACCCAGAGAAGGCTCCTGGCTCCTGGGTTTAGATCAGCCCAACTCTGGCCTTGTGGCCATCTGGGGAATAAACTAGCAGAAAGAAGATCTTTCTCCCTGTCTTCTCTGTAACTCTAAAGTCAATCTTTTAAAAATAATAACAATATTAAAAAAAAAAGAACATAGGCTCCAAGTCAGACTTTGCTCAGATTAGAATCCATCCTGGGTCTGCCTATCACTTACTCTGTATTTCTGGGCAAGCTCCTCAACCCTGCTGTGCTTTGTCATGGGTTAAAAACGCACACCATCTTAAGAGGTTCACTGACCAGTGCTGAACATAGATCACAAACCCCGTTCTAGGGATTCCTGGGCTTCAGAGGGAAGGTCAACTCACAGTCATGAGGAAGGCTGAGTGAGACCCACCCAAGGGAAGAGATTTATTCAGGGTTGCCTAAGCCCTGAGCCATGGCCTCAGGTCCATGGGCCTCCCACGCTCCCAGTCCCAGATCCTCCCAGATCTCAGACACCGGACAGAGGA